CTACGGTGGCGTCATGCGAAGGAACCCAAGATGAGGCTAATCCTAGACAAAGTGGGACTGGACAACGTTCGACTAAATATGATCAAAGAAATTTGTGACACCTGTCGGGGATGTAGAGCATGGGAACGTCCGGGAAATTCAACACTACCTTCGGTAAGCCTTCCTGGAAATTGGCTCGATGAAGGTGAAATGGATTTCATGTTTTACAAGGAACGGACCATATTTCACATTATGGACCGTTGTATTCGCCTGGCAGCAGGCCAAGACATTTCCGACAGAGAACGTGGCACTATACTCGACGCCTACCACTACTGCTGGACTGCCTATCATGGACCCTTCAAAGTCTTGCACTCAGATGGAGAAGGCGCCCTGAACAATGATACTGCCAAGGCCATGATGGCGAACAAGGGCGCAACACTCCGTATCCGAGCGCCTGGCCAACGCGCGACTTCGATCGAGTCACGAAACGGTGTTCTCAGGGGCGTTCTCCACATGATTGAGGAAGAGCTGAACAGACACAACATCCCTGTTGTATTCACTAGAGTATTGGCTGAAGGCATCTTCGCCACCAACGCCTTTACGTTTTGCAACGGAGTATCGCCATGCCAAGCACACACTGGACGACAGCCCTCCTTTCTTCCTGACCTCGACACCCTTGATTTCCCTAAGGGGCCCGAGACGTCAGGTCATGAACCAGAACGTCGTGTGATGGAAGTTAGCCTAGAAGCAATAACTCAAGCCACGGCTGTGGCCAAGACAAATCGTGCTCTCAGGGCTAAAACGGCTCCAGATGGTGCGCGCCTTTACTCATCCGGGGATCTGGTCGACTACCATCGACCTACTGCCACTAAGGGCGATCATGGAGGCTGGAATGGCCCATTTCCTGTGATCCGTAACGTGCCTGAAAGAGGACACATCGTTGTCAAGGCAGGATCTCGTGAGGTAATTGTAATGTATCCTGATGCTCGTCACACGCTATACATTGAATGCCTCCTTGCGCGGGAACTTGGCATGGGCAACATGGCCATGCAAACCGTCCTTACATATGTGGCACACCTTGGCGCAGGGAATCCTGCCAAAGTCTTCAGCTACATTCCAGACTATAAGGGAAACCTCAATCTTTCAGACGACAGCAAGTTTCACCCGCGCGTACATCTTGCACTACAATATCTCGTGCGAATTAATTTCCGAGTTGAACACGCAGTAACAGTTAGATTGGCCAAGAGTGTGTCCTATCTACCTGCAGTAAAGTACGCCACCGGGTCTACGCTGATCCACTACGATAACGACGTCAACCCAGCCTTCCACTATTATGAGTGTGTGGGCACTGGCCTGAACATCTCTCAAATCACTGGTAGCACTCGCTCCAGACTTATCCAATGCTTGACATCACATGTTCCTTCCTTAAGATTTCATGACGACCTGGCCAAGTATCAGCACTCGGGCACCACGTCTGGAGAACACGACCCGCCTGGAAACAGGCCTCCACCAGGCACCCCAGGTGCTTCATCACCAAGTGAAGGCCGTCTGTCTACAATCTACGAAGAAAACGAGGAACATGATATAGAAACTATGATGCTGGAGGAGTGGTACGATGAGTTACGTGGGGACCTTCATCCCACGACGATCACCGACGACCATCTTCACCGCGTCCCAACAACCATGCTGCCCGACCAATGTGTTCTGGTTTCAGCATCCGTGGACGAAGAAGATACTGTAGTGTCGGAAACGCTCGGAGATGAGCCTGAACCACAAGAGCCCTGTCTTGTCTCTCTATGCTCAACTACACCTGACGAGGGTTATTATCTTGACAGTGATGAACATGGTCCTTATGTTGAGTTATGTTTTACACCAGAAATGTCACATGTAGTGTTGGATCAGACTCAACTTGCACAGCTCGACACTGGTATGGTCGCAACGATGAGAGTATACGTGTCCTCGGCTGCTAAACGTGCTGTGGTAGTTAAGGAAGACGACCTACTCACCAAAGCCGACATAGCAGCACACCCTAAAGAGGTGAGTGAAGCTTTGTACACCGAGCTCAAGATCTGGCTCGATAACCAGTGCTTTGAGATGTATGACCTATCTAAAGCTTCCAACATCATGACATCCAGATATGTATATAAGTGGAAGTTTGTGAGGGTTTAGGGTTTAGGGTTTAGGGTTTAGGGTTTAGGGTTTTGCTCATGCCACCGGCGAGGAAACTCGCATGGTTTGCTTCATTCTTCCACCAGGAAGCGCCCAGGTACTTCGTGCACTGCCCGGCTTCTCGCCCTATGATGAAAGCCGACCCTGCCTCAGGTGCCTCAGGCCAGGGGCGGGTACAAAGGACGCCCCAATTGCGTTCTCCCTCAAGCTTCGTACGACCACACGAGCTACAGGCCTTACACCGACAAGTTATGATCCTGAATTTGAATTCAGTCAAGATCTGTTGACAGCAAAACATGTTGACGACATCAATATGACAGGCCTAGAGAAAAATATAGACGACTATGTACAACGTGTCGAAAAGGTGTTTGGCAAATGCAAGCTCAACAAACATTCCTATACGAACTGCGCCGTTCGCTATACCAAGAATGACCATGGGGATGTGATCATGGACCAGGACGAGTACATTAAACAACTACGTCCTATCGCACACCCCGAACTCACAGGAGCGGCGGCCGATGCCAAAGCCACCAAATTCATCACCGACATGTTTGTCAGCCTGCGAGGAGCCCTCGCCTATGCCCTTCTTACTCAAGTCTGGCTTATGGTGTATGTGGTCTCTCTTCAGAAAATCCAAGAGCCCACCAACCTACAAGTCAGGCGACTGAATGCTTTGACGCGAAAGCTGATCAGCAGCCCGAAACGCATCACCTTCCCTCGGATGAAACCGACGAACGAAGTTGACGCACATAGTGGTTCGGGGTATCGGAAGCTCACCGGGGAGGAGGACGATGAGACCAAGGGCTACGGCATACGCGGGGCCAACGTACTACGGCGAGGAAACTCGCCTCAAGGCAAACCCGTCATTCACCTTTGTGACGGGCTATGTAAATCACATCGACTGCAGGTGAGGTCCAGCTATGCCGCGGAAGCATTTGCAGCTGCACGCAACCTTGATGAGTGCTACCCTACGCTCATCACTCTCCACGAGCTCAAGGCAGGGGCCCTGGCTCCACGACAACTACGAGACATGCGTGAAGTTGGAGGCCTAGCCATTAAAGTATCCCTCGCCATAGACGCTGAGTCTGTATACAAATCGTTATCCACTTAAGATACCGACGGAACGGACTTTGCTGGGACATATCAGCTGGATACGTGAGCTCATGGATACAGGTATAGTGCATAATGTACAGTGGTGTGATGCGAGAGATACGACCGCAGATGGGCACACAAAGGGGAGTACCGATCGGGAGCTGCTTTTGGAAGTGATGTCAGGTAATCAGTCATTCAAGTATGACGTGAAGAAGTTTGTTCCCTTTCGGGGTCCCGAGGACAGAAACAAGCCTAAGTCTAGTCAATGTTAGTCTGTCCTTGTTGCCCCCACGGTCCAGTTTGCCAGCATGGGCGCCTCATACAGAGGCGCCCTTCTAGGTGCTCGGAAACGAGCCTGCCATTTCACTCTTGGTAACGAGCCTGTTCGGTTTGGTTTAGGCTCTTTGCCTTAATATCCGTTTGCTCGGTGAGGTGTAGCCCGTTTGGTTCACCTATAGCCGGGCCGATAGCCCCTTGACGTCCGAGGGGCTATCTCGTACTTGCGTGAAATACTTTGCGAGGAAACTCGCCTCACAGTCTGGTGCTAGGCCAGACTGTACGCACTGTTTTTCTTGCAAACAGTCGTGCGCGCGGCCTTTGTAGAGCTTAACGGCTGCGCGGCTATACTCTCCGTCTCCTCCCCTCCCGACTTTAAGGGTAGCTCTTTGCGAGATGTTATATAGAATCGGGAGTATAGCTCGCGCGCCGTTGCCTTTGGCTCAAGGCACGCGCGCCCTATTTGCCCGGACACTGCGAGTGTTCGCTATGTGCTGGAAAGATCACTACATCGATCTTATCCTATCTTATCCGTCCATTCCTCTTACTGAACAGCCTCAGTACGATACCGGACGCTATTTGCCATCCGCTTCCCATGGAATCGGATGCTATTTGACTTACCATAGTCACTTCAGACTCGCGCCGCCGCCACCGCCGCCGCCGCTGTCCGCCGCCGCCGCCGCCACCGCGCCGCCCGCCGCCGCCGCACCCGCACCCGCCCCGCCGCCGCCGCCCCCCCCCCCGCTGCCGAAGCGCCGCCGCCGCAGCCGCTGCCGCCGCCACCGCCGCCGCCACCGCTGCCGCCGCCGCAGCCACCGCCGCCGCCGCCGCCGCCCCCGCCGCCGCCGCCGCCGCCACCGCCGCCGCCACCGCCGCAGCCGCCGCAGCCCCCTGCCCCCGCCGCAGCCGCCGCAGCCGTTGACAGGGATGGTGGGGGGAGGCCGCATCGGGTTCGTTGCGCATTCTCCGAATTTAGAGGCAGAGTGTGTGTTTGTATTGTTTTGTGCAAGGGATGGTGGGGGTCCTCACGGACTCGGGTTGGCTTCCAGTCGCCTGGGGGGAGGGGGTGTATATTCATAGGGAACAGTGATAAACCCGTCCCCGAAGGGGAAGAAGGACGGATGGAAGAGGAAATTCCCTAAACCACCGACGCCCATAGGGGTGGTGGGACTCTAGGGTGTTCACGTGTTTGGCCCTGGGAGACACTCGCCCGACACTGTTTCGACACTTTCGACACACCTTCGACACTTTTCCGGGTGCTCGAAAATAATTATGGGATGTGGTCCTTACGTACGATGGGGGCAACATAAGTGTACCCATGTAGTTATGTTGCTTGCGTCGATTAGCTTCGATGGGCACTTGGGAGTAGATGAGGTAGCGCCGATTCAACATCGGCTAGCGTCGGTTAGCTATTTAGCGTCGACTAGCGTCGATTACCGTCGACTCGCAGGAGCATGGGAGGCTCCCATGATCTGCCACAGAAGGAGCAGCTGCTGGCAGAGCTCCAGCGGCAGGCTCATGAGATCAGGCAGAGCATTCTCCAGCAGAAGGCCGACCTGGTGGAGCTGGAGCTTCAGCAGGGTGAGCTCGTGGGCAAAGTGCTGGTGCCGATCGACAGGGCAGCGCCCGCAGCCCCTAGCGCTCCAGGCAGCACTACGCTCATGGTCCGCAACATTCCGATGGACATGACGCAGAGGCGTTTGCTTGACCTCATCGACAGGTCTGGCTTCGCGAACCGCTATGACTTCGCCTACTTACCAACCGATTTCGACGCGGGGACCTCGAAAGGGCACGCGTTTGTCAATTTCGTCACCCCCAGTGACGCCAGGGAGTTTTCAGAAATGTGGAACGGGGCGCGGCTGACTGGGGCTGGACCCGTCGCGGCTGTTCTCGAGGTCGGAGCGTCACGGCTGCAGGGCTACAAGGAGAACGCCAAGAGGTGGAGCGGGCGTCGGCTGCGCCGCACGAGGAACCATGAGCTCCACCCGTTCATCGCCCAGAGGCTGGTTGCCGGGTGAATGTTCGGTTGCACAAATTCCTTGTTGTAGGCGGTTCTTGAGGGGCGGGGGTCAAGGGCGCCGACAGGGAGAGGGTCAAGAGCTCACCTCCACCTGCATCGCTCGTCTACGGGATGGGTGTCCAGACTATCTCGAGGAGATCAATGGTACAGATTGGGGTCGATGTCAAGCGGTGATCCTTTCCCTCCCTCCTGCCCGGTGCTTTTGCTGTGCTCAAAACGCTCGTTGCTGCAAGGACTTCGGACAGTCGCATTCATAAGCATTCCCCGTGTCTCCTTGGCTGCCCGAACTGCGCTGAGAGATTCTGGCACTCCTGGAGGTGCCACAGGTTAATTACAATGTTTCCTTTGACGTAGTTGGTCCCTTCTCGATTCCCATCCTCTCGCCTGCTGCTGCGTGCTCACCCCCTCCCATGCCTCGTTCGCCAACCCTGTCACCGCCTGCTTCCCTCGAGACGCTCTCCGTCCTCTCGCCTCTGCTGCTCAGCCGATCCTTCGCCGGAGACGAGCCCCCGGCGTGGTCAGAGCTGTCAGGTGTCCCGTTTGGTGGCCCACGTGCGGCGGCTCTTGTGGCGGAAGAGCCGAGGTGCGCGCCCCTGGCTGCGCCCGAGGAGTTCGGCGGGGAGGAGGAGGAGGGGAGGAGGAGGCGAAGGAGGAGAAAGATGCCGCGCAGCGCGGCCCAGCGGACGACCCCGCGCCGGCGCGGCCACGAGCTGGCCCCCCCACCAAGCAAGCACCCCCTGGCCGAGCTGCTCGAGTGGGGCCACGTGCTGCGGGTGGGGGGGGGCTGTGCGCGGTCGTGCGCGCGCGCCGTCCTCCTCCTCCTCCTCCTCCTCCTCCTCCTCCTCCTCCTCCTCTTCCTCCTCCTCCTGTCCCCCCTCCTCGCCCTCGTCCTCCCCGACAAGTACCGGGAAGCAGGAGACTCGGGCCACCCATGCTGGCGCGCAGAGGTGCGCCTCGCGCCTCGCGGCCCGGGCCGGGCAGCTGCCCTTTCTCCAAGGTGGCCTTCCGAGAGCGCGCAGGCGGGTGCGAATCGCGGGGCGCGGCGCTCGAGGCCAAGTTCAGGAGGGGGAAAAAACACACAGGCACAAGTACCCCAGTGCGACCCTACCCAGGAGTTGGAGCCCCTAGGGAAGCAGCATTAGTAGTAGCAGTAAAGCTAAGTTAAAGCTAAGCTAAAGCTAAAGCTAAGCTAAAGCTAAGCTAAAGCTAAGCTAAAGCTGAGCTAAAGCTAAGCTAACGCTGAGCTAAAGCTGAGCTAAAGCTGAGCTAACACTAAGCTAATTCTAAAGCTAAGCCAAAGTTAAGCTAAAGCTAACACTAAGCTAACTCTAAGCTACAGCTAAACTAACGCTAAGCTAACGCTAAGCTAAAGCTAAGCTAACACTGAGCTAACACTGAGCTAAGCTAAGCTAAATCTAAACTAAAGGTAAGTTAAAGCTAAGCTAAATATAAGTTAACGCTAAGCTAAATCTAAGATACAGCTAAGCTAAAGCTAAGCGACAGCTAAGCTACAGCTAAGCTAAAGCTAAGCTAAATCTAAGCTAACGCTAAGCTCAAGCTAAACTAAAGCTACGCCAAAGCTAAGCCAAAGCTAAGCTAAAGCTAAACTAAAGCTAAAGCTAAAGCTCCCAGGGGACTGGGGGAACCGCGGGGCGGATCGTGGGGGAACCGCCCGGGGCGATTTACGTTGCCCGGCCCTTTAAGCTTTAAAGTAAGAACCCTTGTAGGCAGAGCCTAGGTAGGGAATTAATCGTCGACCCCCAGGAAAATATAGGAAATCATCCCGGCAAAGCAACCTAACAGCGATGTGTATAAGCATATCTGGAAGCATTCCTCTTAAGATTCAGGTGAGAATCCAGTTGTAGAATTCTGCTGTTCTCGCAGTCGCAGTCGCATTCGCAATGACAGTCGCAGTGGCAACGGCCTTAGGATCCAATGGAATCCTAAGGATTCCTATGGATTCCTCAGGCATCCTTAGGCACCCTTAGGAATCCATGCCTCTTCTATTTGGAGGGGGCGAACTGGGCCATCCAGGGGGTGGATGGACAAGTGGGCCGTTCATCGGGTGGATGGAAGCGCGGTGGTGCGAGAAATCACAGCTGGGATTGCGGATGGCTCGGCCGTCCACTTTCACCTCGTCCCTCAACCATCTTTGCTGGAATCAGCTCCTGCCAGCTAGACAGCCCTGGGCCCTCTCGACTGTCTCCACTTTTCTTGCGTATTTAATGGTCCCACTGGCTTTCGATGTCTTCTCCCTTCATGTTTTCTCGGTGTCCTCCACACCTGTACTGCTGCCCTTCTAGACGCGGTGAACTTGCCTCGACGTTGGGTTGTCAAAAAAAAGGGGGAGGAGGAGGGGAGGAGGAGGAGAAGGAGGAGAAGGAGGAGGAGGAGGGAGAGGTGATAATGGGATGAATGAGGGAGGAGGAGGAGGAAAAGGAGGTTCATAAGGATGAGGATGGAGGACGATGAGGGAGGAGGGCGGGAGCAGGATTGCGGAGGATGATGGAGGAGGAAGGAGGGGGGGCGGAAGGATGAGGACATGTGAGGAGGAGGAGGAGGAGGACGACGACGACGCGGGGCGAAAAGGGAGAAAAGGGACGACGAGGTGCGGGGCGAGAGGGCAGGAATGCTGGCGGGAGGGAGGGAGGAGGGAGGCATGGGAGCAGGAGAAGGGGAGGGAGAGGCGGGGTGGTTTGGGATCGGTGCAAGGGCGCCCTGGGTCGCGGGAGCCAAGGCGGCCAGGCGCGCGAGTACCCTTCCCCCGAGGCGCGGAACGCCTTTCCGAGGGAGCTCTGGGAAGGGGTTCCATGAGCCGGGTGGATGGCCCACTTGGGGCCTCGGAGCATCAGCCGGACGGATGGCCCACTTGGGGCCCTGGACCGGTGCAGGGGTACTGGGTGCCCCGGTGTGATGTTCCATGAGCCGGGTGGATGGCCCACTTGGGGCCTGGGGGCGGCGAGGGGGTTGCGCGCAGGGCGTGCGAGGGTCGGGGGCGTGCATGAGCCGGATGGATGGCCCACTTGGGGCCTCGGGGGGGGCGGCCTCCAGGAGCCGGGTGGATGGCCCACTTGGGGCCTCGGAGCATCAGCCGGACGGATGGCCCACTTGGGGCCTGCATTCGGCCTCCGCGGAACAGCGTTCGGGAAGGGCTGCGCGCCTTCCCGGAACAGCGTTCGGGAAGGGCTGGCGGCGGAGGGAATGGGGAGGGGTGGGAGCGGGAGAGCACGAGGTTGGAAGAAAGGGGCAAATGGAGGGAGGGAAGGGGAAGGGGACGGGGGAATGCGAAATAGGACAGGGGAGCTGGAGGAAGGGAGGGGGAGGGGGGGGAGGGATGAGGGAGGCAGAGTGCGAGAGAAAATGAGTGCGGTTGGCAGATGTAAGGAGCGGACTAGCATCAGTGAGGCGCTGAACGACACTGGTGTGGGACGAGGGGCGACGACGACGACGACGACGACGAGGAGGACGCGGGGCGAAAAGGGGAGTGAAGGGAGAAAAGGGGAGGTGGCGGCGGAGGGGGCAAGGGGCTGCGCGGTGGGCGGAGGCAGGGGGAGGGCCAGCGCGGGAGCGTGCACGGGGCAGACCAGGCGAAGTGGCCACTTCGGCGCCATAGAAAGGGCGCGGCGGTCGACGGGCACACATAGGACGAGAAGGAGAGAGGGTGGCAGAACAGCAATTCCAAGGCTGCCCCTCGCAGACAATTTGGCTTCACTCGTGCGGCCTGATCCCGCTTCGAGGTGTCTCCATGTCGACGCGGTAGCGGGCCGTGGGCCGAGGCGACCGAACTGCTCCGAACGCTGGGCGGAAAGGCGTTCCAGAAATCTTGGAACGCCTCCCCGAAAGCCGTTCCATGCACCCTTTCGACGGCCCACCTTCTGGATGGCCCTGTTCGCCCCGCCTAATTCTATTCTCTGTGAGCAAGCTCCTGCTGTCTCCGCAGCTTCTCTGCCCAAGTGCCCCCCGTCGGCCGCGCGCGCGGGCGCCTTATGCAGGCGGTCGCACAAGCGGCTCTCCAGGGCGCTGGGGAGATTTTGTTCAGGGGGCTGCGGGCCGCGCTCTACGAGCGGCTCGTGGCTGCCCCCCTCTCTGTGCTTCAGGACCAGGGGCCTCCATCGCCTGCCTGGTCCATCCAGCAGGCGGACTCGTCCGAGGGTGAGGGGGCCTCCTGCCCTCTCCCTTCGGCGGGTTCCACCTGCCCCACCGTCTGCCTCGGGCTGGCGGTGGACCTGAGCGGCGGGGTCTCTCCCTGGCTGCTCAGCACGGTCGCCGCCCTCCTCTGGGTGACGGCCGCCTGCAGCGCCTGCGCGGGCTGCTGCCTCGGGCTGCTGGGCCCGTACGTGTGGCGGAGGCTCTGGCCCTCCGCCTGGCCGCGCGGCGCGGTTTCTGCTTCACCTGAGCAGGACCGCCGTGCGGCGCGAGCGCTGGCCTACGGGGTTCCGCCTCGACCTCAAGCGCTCGAGCGGGCAGACGCCCAGCGTGCGGGCGGCGGCGTCCACGGCGGCGCCCACTGATGGCGGAGCTGCCACCAGTTGGCGGAGGGCCCCTTTGGCCCGAGCTCTACCCTTTCGCTGCGCCCACGGCGCGCGACTACGCACGATGGCGCCTAGACGACGGCGACACCAGCTGGGCGGCTATCCCCCTCGCCTCTCGAGAAGGGGGCATCCTGCTGGCCCTGCCTGGTGCCTTTCGCTCTACAGCGGAGCTCGAGGCTGCCGAGGCGGATGGCTTTGCTGGGATGATAGGCCCCTTCCAGCTAGTGGACGTCCAGCTCCAGGGGGCCGCTTCACGGCCGCTCGCCACTACCGCATCCGTCCTCGTTATAGATATCGAGGTTGCCGAGCTCGAGCTCGAGTCGCTGTACCCTCTAGAGGTCGGCGACGACGCAGGCATCGTTCCCTTCGCCGAGGTGCGCAGCCGCGTCTATTGGCCGCATCCTTCGGGGGTTCGGGTGCTTCGCGAGGGCTACGCTCGTTTGCACGGCGCCCCGCCTACCGCAGGGGAAGAGCCTCTCCCAGGGGCCGATCGGGCTACCCCCTACCACTCTGCCGACGAGATGGAGGAGCCCGAGGGGTTCGCGGCCGACGGGGAAGCCGACCGCGCGGCCCCAAGTGCGCGAGCCCCCGCGGTCGCTGGAGCGCCGCGCGGCCCGCCCGCCAAGCGCGCTGGCGCCGCCGCGCCGCCACGGGTCGCGGGTCCTGCTCCGATTGCTCCTGGTGCTCCTGCGGCGTCTCTGGACGACGGGGCTCCCATGACCCGCGCCGAGGTAGCTGCCGAAATGCGCGCCTTGCTTGCAGCCCACGCGGCCTCCACGATGGTCGGCGGACCCGAACCGCTGGGCCCCGCTCCGGCTGCCCGGAGCGCTCGGCCCGAGGTGCCTCAGCTTTTCAGCGACGAGGCGGCGCGCCTCGGGCTGGATCCTGCGGGGATCGAGGCCGTCTTGTCCCACGCGCCCGTGGCCCCACATCGGGTCTCCGCGCGCCCCAAGGGACCCACCTCCGCGCTGGTCTCGGCGTGGGAGAAGGCGCGCTCTCTTGCTGTCCCTCGGGCCCCTTCGTCCGCTTTCGGACCGATGGGCCCCCCGCCGCCGCCTGGGCTAGCCCATCCCGCTGCG